ACTACATTGAAGGTTGTGAAAAAAGGTTGTGAGATGGGATTGTGGACTTAACATTACTCATTTTATATATATATATATTCATCATTTTATATCCCAGAAGGATTTTTATGTTTATGATTATGTATTATGTATTGTGTTTAATTTAATAGGCGCCCTTGCAAGGCAATGGGAAGAAGATTTGAGTTGAAAAATTTGAGAGCCGAAGATAAGATCGGAGTGGTGAATGGTGATGGATGGATGAATGCAAACAGGAGAAGTCTCTTCAATGTTGAAATCTTACAGTGGAGGTGGAGCCATTGTGTTTTGATAAATAGGCCACACGTGTGCATGTCCACATCTATCCATATCTAATATCTTATCCATCTTCTTCTTTTTTCATGAATTAAAACAAGCGTATAAGTATTTCAAGTTAATTATTGGAGGGGAGGTCACCATGTACATATGGAACCAATTATTTGAGGGCTGGGCCGGACAGTCAACGGTCAATCACATTACCATCACCAACTCTCATATATATTCTTTTGCATTTGGCAGCAAGGAAGAAGCCGATCCATTAAAACGCCCCAGACAGCTCAGCTAGTGTTTTTCCTTATCATAAAAGTTTCTGCAAATAATTTCATCAAATCTTTGCTTCTGCATGCTTACAAATACTCACAGACACACTGCCTGTTTCTTCAATTTCAATTTCGGAAGATTATTGTCGTTCTCCTGCTAAACAGCGAAACAACGGTCAACCCAATCTCTGATATATCATAATCCTTGGACCAGTTCTTCATCACATATTTTTCTATTATATATATATATATATATATGGGTGTAGGTCTATGTTGACATGTGACACAAATTTTGTTTATATTGTCCTTATCTATTTAGATGTTTAGTAAGGACATTTTTTTATTCTCAAGGTCTTAGGGTTTTAATATATAAACTCCCTAATGTCATTGGTGAGACATCATTATATTTCTCTTTATTCTTTTTCTTCCTGAAATCTATTGAGAAAGAGAGAGAGTAGATTTGTAATCAGACTTTGATTATAGTGGATTATTCCTCATATTCTCCGCATGGTTTTTCCTAATTTGGGTTTCTACGTAAATTCTAATGTCATTTGTTTTATACTTCTCGCTTGTTTCATTTGACTTTCATTGTTTTTGGGTATATTTCAAAAAAAATTGGTATCAGAGCCAGGTTTAATGGCGTCTACTTCAAGATTCGGCACGACCGGATTATCCTGTAAGGCTAAAATTGAGAAGTTTGATAGTACAACAAGCTTTGTAATATGGCAAGTCGGAATGATCGTAGTATTGACAAAGGAAGGTACCAAGAAGGCGCTGCAGGAGAAGGCAAAGAAGCCTGAGACTATGACAAATGATGAATGGGAGGATATCTAGCATTGACTTCCGATGTACTCAGAAAGATATTGGAAGTGAAGACAGTAGCAGAAGTATGGAAAAAGTTGGAGAATAAGTACCTAACAAAATCTCTCACGAACAGGCTACAGTTAAAGCAACATCTTTACACGTTGCGATTATTAAAAGGTAGTTCCTTGAATTCGCATCTAGCTGAATTTTCATCAATAATTACAGACTTAAGTAAAATTGATGTGAAAATTGAGGATGAGGATCAATAATTACATGCTCATTTTCATTGATGATTTCTCTAGAAGAGTTTGGGCATAAGGAGAAGAGTCAAGTGTCTAAAACCTTCAAGCAGTGGAAGACTTTAGTTAAAAAGCAAACAGGTAAGCACATCAAGAGGCTTAGAACAGACAACAAGCTTGAGTTTTGTAATGAAAAGTTCAATGAGTTCTGTCGAAATGAAGGCATTGCAAGACATAGACCCGTTGTAGGAACTCCACAACAAAATGGAGTTGCAAAAAGGATGAACAGAACACTACTTGAGAAAGCTTAATGTATGCTTTCAAATGTAGACTTAGGGAAGGAGTTTTGGGCTGAAGTAGTAAACACAGCAATTTGGCTAGCTAACCACTCTCCAAACACATCTATTGAGTGTAAGACCACAGAAGAGGTATGGTCTGATAAGCTCGCCAATTATTCTATATTGAGAGTTTTTGGTTGTCCTGCATATGCTCATGTAAATGAAGGAAAGCTTGAACCAAGAGCAAAGAAGTGTGTGTTCCTTGGTATTCATCTAGTGTGAAAGGATACAAATTATGGTATCCAGATCACAATAAGTTCTTAATTAGCAGAGATGTGACATTTGACGAGTCTTCCATACTCAAAGACAAAGGAGAAAAATCAAGAAAGACACATGTTCAGGTCAAGGAGAAAGATCAAAAACAGGTGGAGTTTAAAGTTGTTGCTTAGCCTACACAATCTCTTAGTTCTATTCCAACCCGGAGTGATAATCAAGTTGATGAAGAAAGCTTAGAAAATTCGAAGGAGATTCAGGAGGATCAATAAGAGCAGTCTTATAGTCTTGCCAAAGATAGACCCAGAAGAACCATCAAACCACCAGAGAAGTATGGCTATTCAGATTTTGCTTATTGCCTTGCCATAGCTGAAGAGGTGGAATACAGTGAACCTAGAAGCTACAAAGAAGCCATATCTTCTGAAAATACTGCGAGTTGGATCTTAGCTATGCAAGAAGAAATTTAGTCCCTGCAGAAGAATCAAACATGGACACTTTTAAAGCCTCCCAAGAAGAAGAAGATTGTTGGTTGCAAATGGGTCTATAAAAGGAAGATTGATAATTCAAGTGCCACAGATGTCAAATTCAAGGCTAGGTTAGTGACTAAAGGCTACAGTTAGATACAAGGTATTGATTTTAATTATTTTTTCTCACCAGTTGTTAAGCATGCTTCTTTTCATGATTTTGAGCTAGAACAACAAGATGTGAAAACTGCAATTTTACATTGTGATCTTGATGAGCGATTTATATGCAACAACCAGAAAGTTATGAAGTCCCAAGTAAATAAGACCATGTGTGTTTACTAAAGAAGTCATTGTATGACCTTAAGCAGTCACCTAGACATTGGTATAAAAGATTCGATTCTGTCATATGGAATATTGAGTTTAAGAGATCCAGTTATAATAATTGTGTGTATTTCAAGAGGCTTCCAGATGGTACTAATATGTACCTATTGCTTTATGTGGATGATATGTTAGTTGCAGCATCTAACAGGACTGAAATCAAGAAGGTGAAACAACAGCTAAGTTTTGAGTTTGATATGAAAGACTTGGGAGCTCTCAAAAGAATTCTTGGAATGGAGATCATCAGAGACAAAAATAATGGGACGTTGTATCTTTCACAGAAGGCTTTCGCAGAAAAGATATTGAGTAGTTTTGGCATGAAAAGGGCTAAGGCAGTGTCTACTCCTCTTGCGGCTCACTTTAAATTGTCAACAAACTTGTGTCCTACCACAGATAAGGACATAAGTCACATGTCACAGATTTCATATGCAAGTGCAGTTGGGAGCATTATGTATTTGATGGTATGCACCAGACTAGATATTGCACAAGCTGTTAGTGTTGTGAGCAGATATTTGGCTAATCCAGGCAAACAACATTGGGAGGCAATCTAATGGATCCTCAAATACTTAGCAAGCACCACAGATGCATGTTTGGAGTATGGTAAGAGTGGTTACAGGTTGACAGGTTTTGTGGACTCAAACTATGCAGGAGATCTTGATAAGAGAAGATCATTGACAGGATATTTGTTCACCATGGGAGGATGTGCTATCAGTTGGAAAGCTACCCTCCAATCTACATTTGCTCAGTCTACCACAGAGGCAGAATATATGACCATTACAAAGGCAGTCAAGGAGGCAATTTGGCTCAGAAATTTAGTCAGTGAAATTACTTTCAAGTCTATTTCTATCATACTTCATTGTGATAGTCAAAGTGCAATTCACTTAACTAAGGATCAGATGTATCATGAGAGAGCTAAGCATATTGATGTCAAATATCACTTTGTTCGGGATGTGTTTGCTAGGGGAGAGATTTTCATCCAGAAGATTAGTACTGCAGACAATCCAGCCGACATGCTCACCAGGCCTTTGCCCATTACTAAGTTCAAGCATTGTTTGAGTTTAATTGGCATCAAGTGTTGAAAATAACCCTTAAGGGGTTTGTGGAAGAGGTGGAGAATCAAGTCACTCATTGTTGATGTTTTCGAATTTGTGTCGAGGTGGAGATTGTTGATGTGTGACACAAATTCTGTTTATATTGTCCTTATCTATTTAGATGTTTAGTAAGGGCAATTTTGTATTCTCAAGGTCTTAGGGTTTTAGTATATAAACTCTCTAATGTCATTGGTGAGATATCATTTTATTCATCTTTATTCTTTTTCTTCCTGAAATCTATTGAGAAAGAGAGAGAGCAAATTTGTAATCGGACTTTGATTATAGTGGATTATTCTCCATCCTCTGCCCGTGGTTTTTCCCAATTTGGGTTTCCACGTAAATCCTTGTGTCTCTTATTTTATATTTCTCGCTTGTTTCATTTGACTTTCACGTAAATCCTTGTGTCTCTTGTTTTATATTTCTCGCTTGTTTCATTTGACTTTCATAGCTTTTGGGTATATTCCATAACAATATATATACACGCTTAGATTTTTTATAAATACACCATTAACTATTCATAGTATTTCTTTGTGAAATGACTCTTACACTTTATTCGTGAATCATGTGGTGATTGGTTTCAAAATAAGATGTTTTGTCCACAAGTGCAATCATACGTGCCCGTGGGGGTTGTCAAAAACTATTAAATGAGACTATGAGAGGTATACTATATATCAATGAAAGTGCTACCTATTAAATCAAATTCATTCATGAATATTGACATGACCGAATGTGTCTATTAATGCAGGCTACTTATATTTTTTTTACATTAAGTTTCCACCAATATCTACACGCATTTTCTGGGATAATTACTTTAAACCCAGTTCAATAATCAAGTTTCATGTTTTTTATTCAACCACTTATCACTACTTATCCTAATACCGTATTGTTTTCCAGATCAAGTAGCAGCAGAAAGTTTGCAATTTCCATGCTTTGATTCCCATCTTACAGAACAAGAAGCTCGTTTGCATATACACGAATTTTATTTATAAAACTGGATTTATAGATCTAAAATTAGAGATTTGATATAAGTAATTTACATATAAAGTTTAATATTAAGAAAAAACCTAGCTAGTACAGGGGTGGGTGGGATACTGGGATGAGACATAATGATGAGGAGGAAATGAAAATGTATTACACAGGATGAGTGAAGTAGAAGGAGAGTATCATGATCTTAACAGAAAAATACTGAGTTCTTGTCCAGAACTCCCGACCGGGTTAATCATGTGAAACGACTCCGAATCAGCTGATCCAATAACCCGCTCGAAACTTGCACGTAGATACATGAGGTCTCCTTCTTCTTCCAACTTTGGAGCAACAGGCAAAACACCCGCACCAACAGAGACAGACTGCATAAGTTTAAGCACCGCCACGTCACTCACACTCAACTGCCTTCTAATGGCGAACCCAACCTTCCTACCATTGCAGTACATGGACCAAACAGGCACGTTAAATAGAGAGCAAGAAGTGGAGCTCTGCTTTTGTCGGTCACACTCTAGAGCGATTCGAAGCAAACCGTACTGCATCTCTCTGGCGAGATAAGCAGTGGGGACAGCGAATTCGAGTAACAGAAGAGGAGAGCTACGAGTGTCGTCTTGTAGACAAAAGCTGACACGGCCTTTCCTGTAACCAAAAAAGGTGCCCGTTATTGTGGAGGCGTGAGTGGTTGTGGAGTCTGTGTCACTGGACATTGAATCTGATGGTTGGAAACCACAACAAGGGACCATACACTCAACTAAAGAACGAAAGGAACGGCGAAACCTAACTTCTCTCCCACATTCAACAGAGGTAGCTGTGTCTATAATTTGAAGAGGGCCTCTTTGGCTTCCCAAGTCTACCATCATCCTCATTTCTTGGATTGGTTTAGAAATGGTAGAGGTAAGTAAAGGGTAGGCAGCATGCAATGCAAAGAACAAAAGATAGAGAGAATATATGAGTAAAAGAGTAGAGTGTAAAGCCTATAAATAAGCAAAGCAAAGCAAAAGGGAACAAAGTGATGAAATGAAAGTGGGCCGAGGAATCGTGGGCAATAATTCTGCCCACGAGGGTGTGCGGGGTCCATTATTTGGATGGACTTGTAAGAGTAGTGCGCGTGATTGTGATACCTCTCGGCTTTCTCCCTCCCCTGTTTTAGATTGTGAAAGAATACCAATATATGCACCACCACCATCCACTTCACACATATCATAATCTTAATTATTAACTTAATGAGGAAAGTTATGAGAAAATAATTTCAATTAATTTGAAAGATTTTTTAGCAGAGCATGTGGATGGTTCAGGTGTTGTAATATTTGAGAGGAAAAGTAAGTAGTGGGCGGTGGTGGACTACAAACATACAGTAGAAATAATAGGAACTGGGAAGGAGATGAAGAAGAGCATGAACATGAACATGAGCATGCACCACGAGGCAATGATTAGACCCAATCAGTCATGCCTGTCTCTACTTTTGCCTCTCCAAGATACTGACTTCTCTCTCTCTCGTGGTCCACTCCACAACTTTTAGCCCCAGACAGACATGGAATAATTAAAAGGCAGTGGTTTCTCAATTAATTTATAAAATCTAGGTTGCAATTGATCATTAATCAACCAATCTACTTTAAATTACCACCTTCTCACTTCAATGATTTCATTTATTAAAATCCTTAAACCCCCAATTCCATTTATCTTCAATATGAAAACATGATAGATTCTCTCCAAAAATTAATATATGCCCCATTTTCAACGTGAGGACAGTTAAAATTTTAGCTTTTAATTTACTTTTAAACAAAAGAAATAGCTATCAATTGTCTTTGTTTCTGAAAACTTTGTCCACAAGTTTGCAAGCACTGATTCTTCAGCTTTAGTTTGTCATAGACAGGGGTGACATTTTCATGAAATGGAGCTCTGTCTTACCTTTTCTTACCATCACCACACGTCCACCTATACCCTTTTCTAATTATTTGGGCACCATATATACATAAACCTAAGCTTCAATATTACATTAATATAGTGCTTAATTCATATCATTTATATTGTATATGGTTAATATTTTTTTTTTTTTTTTTTTTGTTAAATAGAAAGGTGATTGGAGAAGAAAGGAATAAGGAGAGAAAGCAAATACAATCAGGGGATGATGTTAAAAAGTTTAGGACCCACACCAGTGATTAAGAGAAGTATGTTTTTGCACGCTTCAGTCTTCACTGCTTTTCTCCTCGTCAATTCATTCAATAATATATACAGTATTATATAAATTTTATAGTATTGCAAACACTTACCCCACCGCACCGCTTTTTCTACCACGGCCATCCACCTCAGCTGGTTGTGGGCAGGCCTGAGAATGAATTCTTTCTTTCTACGTGTACTGGACCATTCAGGTCTGTAGTAGGAATATATGCTTTTAAAAACGTAATTTAATTGTCGACTCCTTCTCCAAACAAAACAAAATATTAAGATCTCCTATCCCACATATCCCTTTTCTCTTTTATAATCATGTCCTGTCCTGACTCTGCGGCTTTGCCTTTTTTATGAGCGCATGCATCACAGTAGCGGTGGATGGTGGGGATTTTTATTAAGTGAGACTCAGACATATTCATTGTCATCACCCCATTTCTTTCTTTCAAACCTTATTCGTTTTCATTTATATTAGATTATTTAAGCTATCTGATTGATCTTTGTGCATGTGTCTCATGATTAGTGGACATTTAAGTTATTGGTTAACTAATTCTTAATTATCTCTTTCTACGTTCATGTTGTTGCAGTGATGATCAATAATTTGAAGGATGAAGATAAGTTTGGTTTGTCTGTGAAAGCAAATGGAAGACAGTTGAGATAGCACGTAAGCTTACGATCTTTTTGTTTTTCGATAGGTAAAGCTAATGGCAATTGCCAGGCTATAAATTTATGACAAGATACCATTAAAATGACAGAAAAAACACAAGTAGATATTACTGGTAATGAAAAAGGACGTGTGTTATTTTCACACAACAATTTGGGGGAGACAAGCACAGTTCCTGCTGTTAAAGTTTGAGGTTTCACAACATATCACGTATTAACTATCAATTAGTGGCAAACCTGTGGGGGCATTCACCCCTTTCATTTCAGCTTTAAGCTACTTGGCTTCATTCAATTGTAACAAACTAATTAGCTTTTTGACTTTTAATACTAACTCCAATCACTTATGTACCCTAATCACACATCAATACTTTTAATTAATTAATAAAAATAGTCTGGTAAATACTTCTCACTAATAAAGAAACTTTTCCCATTAACTTTATCTCACAAATACGATATAATGAGCAATTAGTCAACTCGTAATTAATTAGGCAAAATCCATTATTGGGCTGAAGAAACTCATTACGAGCTGACCAAGTGCTTATTAGTACGTTACGTTTGTTAGAAAAGGTTAATAAAAATGATTTGTCAACGTAATATTACCCTTAATTAATACCACAAATTTCTTAAGAAATATGGGCCCTTCTAGAATTTTCATACTATTCTAGTAAGGTCCAATTGAAAAGGCTAATAAATCCAGTTAGTTTCAGTTGGGCCACTGGCAAACTAGGCCGGTTTCGGAGTCTCGTCTCAGGGAAAACTTGTCAAACACATAACACGTGTGTTGGACTTGTTTACAACTTTACAACATGACATCAGTTGGAGAATATGTCCAAAGTTTGACCCAAATAACTTTAGTTTCACGTTGTTGTTGAGAAATTCACGAGAAAACTGTCCAATTCTGTGGGATTTTGTTGTATAACAACCAAGTGATCTTATTCTTTTGTGGGTTTTTTTCTTATTGTCAAACATATCATTATCATCACTCCATTGAAATATTGGTAACTCTAATCCCATGTTTCATGCATCTCACAGAGAGAAATTAATTATATTAAGGCCTTCCGTAGTCACTTATACAATATGATAAATTTTATTAATATCAAAATCACTATCGAAGAATCAATCAAGGTATAAAAACAAAGTCTTTGGCTGTTTGGTACAACAATTTCAAATATTATTCTGGTTTTTCCAAAAAATTTAAACAGCTAAAATTGGCTTACTCTCAAAATATTATTCCATATTATTCAATTTCTTTTAAATCTCCCTAAATTTGTTAATTTAACTAAACACTTTCAAAAAAAAATTTAGAAATTGATAAAAACACCCCAACAATCCACATTTACCAGATTCCGACCACCACTTCCAGAAGCTGGCCTATATCTAGTACAATGGCACACTACCGACTGAATCTGATCAATGGTGCACTGATCTAGCATTTTTCGATCAGATCCACCTTTGGCTGTAGCTAGTCATCAACGACGACCAAGATATGATCGTCGTTGACTATCAACGAACCAAATACAGTCAGATCTGACCGTCAATGGCTAGATCCACGGTGAATCTGACTGAAAAAGGTCATATCGATATACAGTTGGCTAGATCCAACCGATCATGAGTCAATACAGTAACTCTGACCACCCTCCGGTGATGGTAGCCGGTTGTTTGTATTTAATGGATAGATTGTGGGTATTTTTGTTAATTTTTAATATTTTATTATAGGAGTGTTTGATAAATAAATATAGGAGATATTTTTTTAATTTCCAAATCCTATGCTATAATACTCATTCAATTTAACTTCTTACAAAATATTATTCTACAAATATCGAGATAATGAACGACCCTTTATTATGCGGAATACGTAAATTCACAACTAACAAGTAACACAAAAATTAAGAGGTCCAATCAGAGATTGCAACGTAATCCAATTGGTGTCATTGTGGATAACAATAAACGAGATAAAGCAAGCAATATCTCTCTCTTATTAATGCAGGGATTGACTTTGATTATCAAAAGTCAAAACCAATATTGTTTTACACCAAGGGTATCGGAATCAAAAGGGGCTTGACTTTTGAGTCATTGGGTTCACAATGGCCGTCTACTTGCATATATTTATGATCATCAAATGGGTACGGAGCTTTGACATTATGTACTATTGCTTCGTAGGCTTATCGTTTAGTGATTAGAGTAATAATTTGGTGTAAGCAATTTGACATTAGTGGCTTTATAATTAATCAAGTTTGGTACTTATTAATTCAACAAGAGAATAGAAAATGCAAGTCTATGTACTAAAGTAACTTCTTCTTTTGTAGTGGGGAACAAAACAAATAGAGTATTTCTTCCGCACACAGGATTAATTTTTAAGTTTCACAGAATATAGCTAGCTGTCAAGATTAATTAGATGCTGGATCAATGAAGGAAAGTCTGCAACTCGATACTTTGAAAAATACAGTTTTAGATAAAGACAAAAGCCGACCAAACTAAGTTTGAAGATAGTATAGCAAGACAAAGACAAAGTACGTGAGAATAGAATTGTATTCGTATGTGAACTAGAACAGTTGAACTTAATCGCGTAGAATTTTATGAAAAAAATATACACGCCGTGGTTTGTCTGCCATTAATGTCATATCTCTGGTTTTCACACAGTGGTGTTCTCTTTTCATACAGGTTTGTATATAAACCATTTGTATTTGTTCTCCCAAAACTAAGTGCGCCCTGGTTTTTATGATTTGAACCTTCTCTTATGAATTGCTTAAGAATAAAAAAGGAAACAGCATATATGAATTACTTCTCCATATGCATGCACATGAAAAATATAAAGCATTAAAACAAGGGTAAAGAATTAACTAGGGAATCCATATATATTTGTATGGACGATTGAATTAAAGTTGAAGCTTACAACTAAATCCGATCTCTGTTTTCTTTTATACAGGGATAATATGAAGTTACAAAAGGTTGAAAAAAAAAAAAGGAATAAATTTAACATGAAGAAGAGAAAACAAAAAATTTCTAGGCAACGCTCCCTTCATAAATGGTGGCTAGCCTCAGCCTAAAAGAACGAACAGCCCATTTAGCTCGTCTAGAAGTGTATCTTTGTAATTTTCTAACAGAACCAGATCTTGACATACGA